TATATGTCTCTTTAATTGATTTAACCAATTCTGTAGGTATTGATTTTAGACCATCTGAATACCCTAATGATGAGTTCATTTGTTAATAGAGGAGTTTCTCTTCTGAACTTAGGCAATCGATGCAATTTACCAATACATGCCACTAGGTTAAGGTATGGCTGCATCTCATAGAATAGTGCCGTGAAAAGTAAAAAAAAAGGTAAAACATAGAAACACAGAACCAATGCAATTGATTGTTCTTCTGTCTTGTTTTGATAGTGCCTAATATCCCAGTTATTTGAAATTATCTGAAGGATTGACTTTTCATTTTTTATCAAGAAATGTATTGTGTATGCCCAGCTTGAGTGTATCTGCTAGTATAGTGCCAGGAAAAAACATCTAAGCAGGAAATGTGAAAGCCGTATAGAGCAATGCTAACAGAATCACATTCTGTGCTTGACCGACAGCATTATTATTGATTAAAGAAGAAAGCAGTACCTGAATATGTAGCCTTGTAAAATGAGTCCACTGCTACGATATCTCTAGGCCATCCGAGGGCTCACTTTGACAGTCTCAACGAACAGGAAACATATTGCATTGAGTTTTGTTTTCTGTAAATCTCGGAGCGGGGGGCAGGTAGTGTCATAAGTCTGGATATAACTGTTCAGGCCATGCTTCTTAAAAGCCCAAAAAGATTCTCCAAAATTTTTTTATAAATATAGTACACGTGTCTATTGGACTAGGATAACAGTTAATGATATGTAATCACTGGGCCAGAATTACCTTACCAAAGAATTTTAAAGAAGTTCGATCATTTTATAGAAGATGACTAGCAAGTTTCCTAAGTGCCTCATATGTGCATTTTCTCCCTCAAGAAATATGAGGCAATGTATGCCATGGAGGTTGGGACTCAATAGACAACCACGTTCTTTCCTTCTTTCTTTCTTTCCTTCTTTCTATTTTTTCATGATAGCTTTACATTTCATGGTTCATGTAATTGAGTATGTAACTTCAGCTTCAGTATAGCAGAAGGATTCTCTACATAACAGAAAGACAAGCTCCTTCTTATTTTTAGGAAGATGGATTTAATGAGTAAGCAACTATGAGTATGTCCTTAGCCACATCATTCCTCCTGAGCAAATAAATTTGCTGCTTAGCGGGATACCACAAATAGTACAAAGCTGGTAACGAGAGAAGAATCAGCTCATAAACACTCCTTGAATGACAAAAGTGCCTTCTCCCTGGGCATATAATTTCTCCAGATACGTATCATGGAGGAGGCTCACCTAGGGTAGCATCCTCAGGGCTTCCCAACCTCAGGGTCAAATGTTAGTGAAAAAGCAAAGAGCCCTCCTGATGGAGTGAGGTGTGAGAGGCAGGACTGCTAATGGAGGAGTCACCTGGAGAAGAAGGATATTTCCCAGGCTTTCTTGTGGAGAGAGAGAGAGAGAGACAGGGAGAGAGAGAGAGAGAGAGACAGAGAGAGATTTGAGTGTATGTACATGCACTTGTGCCCCTACAGCACCTCAGGTGCCCTGACCTCTCTACCATCAACAACCCCTAAGAAGGTTCAGGGCAGAGGCCTGTGTGACGGTATAGGGCCCTCTCTCCTGCTGGGCTAGGCCTGTCAAGATCTAAACACATCAAAGTCTTCTTCCAGTAGGAAGGACTCTTCCTGTCTTCCTACTCTCCCTCAAGTAGGACTTCCCAGACAGAAGCATTCTATTCACTCCAGAACTACTCTTGATATGGAGAGAGGAACAGAGTGCTCATATAATCCTCGTTGGAATAACTGCATAGGTCTGGAACCTGGTCACTAGTCAGTAAGCCCATAAACTCTCTGGCTGTAAAAATTTATACACCAATGCCTGTGTGAACAGCAGTCACAATCAAGATGCACTGCATTTGCATAGCACGCTATGGTCTCTAGAGCACTGTCATGGATGTTGGCTACTCACAACCACTCTTGATGTAGACAGGACAGGAATGACTATCTTCATTTTTAAAATGAGGAAGCTGTGGCTCAGAGGTGTTAACCGCCTTGCTAATGTCTTGCTGATGGTAAGTGGCAAAGCTGGGAGTGGAACTCAGGTTTTTGGATTTCTAGCACAGCACTCTTTCCACTATACCCCATTACCTCTCATCACACCATACTGAGGTCTATTTTTTAACATTTTAATATATTTTATCATCCTTTCTTATACCAGAGCTTCCTTAATGGCAAGATAGCTATTATGTTGGGGAAACGTGGCACAAAATAGGTAGAATATAGGTCTTAAAAAACATATAGACAGTACAAATTAAAGCAGCATAAGTGTTAACTATCTAGCTTCCATTTTCCAATCAGTTTAAATTACTTTAATGTATGTTTTTAAACTCAAAATTAGCTATAATCCCAATATGTAACCCTCTTAATGCTTGGTGAATTACACTATATCATTTCATTTTGATTCCCCTCCTTTTGCGGGATATCTCACATTCTGGCACATGCAGCTGCAACTTGGGATTGTCTTTTCATGTCCCATAATTTCAAAAGAGGAATTTCCTCCTTGTATATTTTGTAGACTAGTTCTTATGCCTTAAAGGCATATATATTTTGCACACAAATAATTCAGTTAACTTTTCTTCCAAGTCTCTTAATTTAATAATCCCTTATAGCCTGTTTAAAACAAAGTCAAATTACAGTGAAAGTGAAGAACGCAAGTTGTGCAATGTGTCTCGTGTCTGGCGGAAGCTCTCTGTGACCACTTAGTTTAGAGATTAAAGGTGCTGAGCACAGAGTAGGATGCCATTAGCACATCTGACTAGAGCTGTTGGGACTCTGGAATGATCTCGATTTAACTTCCAAAGGAAAGAGAAACTCTCAGCATAGACATTTTCAATCAATAGCCAAGCAACTCAGAAAAATTAATTTGAAGGAAGTTATTTTCCTATAATGGCTGTATAAAAAGACATATGTTTCAAAGAAACTGGCCTTGAACATAATTATGTTTCTCCTGATCAGAGAAGAATAACTGGGCCTAGTTGACAGTCCCGAAGCACAGAAGCGAGAGGACATTTTCAAAAACCATGTCGCTGAATCAGAGCTAGGTTAAGCAATGTCACTTTGATTTCTCCCCTCCCCATCTTCTGCCAGTGGCGTGCTTATACTATTACATCCAGCGTGCTTTAAAAGGAAACTGCTTGAACATCATGACCATTACTTTATGATAACCTAAGTCTTCTAGAACAGACTTGTTTGGATTTTCAGGGATCAGGAGAAGTGTAGCCATGTGATTTCCACAGTGACATGTCTTTAGCCCACTACCACATCCTATTCCAAACCAGCCAGGATTAGGGGAGAAAAGTGGTAGAAAAGGCAGACTAGTGAAGGTCGATGTCCAACCCCTACTCCTCACCAGCATCCACCTCTTCCTTTCAGCATCCTTTACAGAAACTGCTTAGGGATGGACATTCATATCCTAAACACATGTGAGACATGACTTGGGCCAGCCAGACACATATTCCTTGTTTTGTCATTTTAACCTGTTACCTCATTCCCTAGCTTTCTTGCCATTCTACCACTTGCCAAAATTCAACCTCAGGCACAGATGGTGAGAAAATGATTTTTGCCTACTGAGCCAAAGAAAGTGCCCAAATATTAATGGATATTTATCAAGCAACAGAACCTGAAACTTAATAGACACGAGAAGGACTTCGAATTCTAATACTAATGTCTAAACTTGGGGAGTGTTTTATTTAAAAAAATTGCTTCAAAGTGCATTGAGTTGTTGTTATACATGGAAGGGTTCAATATGCTTATGCGCTGGTCACCCAGAATGTCAAGTCCAATGTTAGACAGTCCAATGGTCTGTTACAGGTGGTTGCCTCTGCATTCTAATTTACAGCAGTATTCTCTTAGTCTCTTAGCCCTCACCCACCTCCAGGATTCACAAATATAAAGGTCTCCAAATGGATACTTTTTAAAAGGGTCTGAGGAACCCTGAGGTTGTCAAACCACTGCTTCAGCGCTCCGCATATTAAACGTTACTTCCACAGCCTGAAAAAGTCTAGGGAAGTACAAATTTAGTTCTGATTACATAATCATGCTACGGAAGTATGAAAAAAAATCATCACTAAACCCCTCCAGGTGCTTAAACAGTTTGATAGACTTTAGCCATTCTGCCATCAGCGCCCCCAGCTGTGTTGCTTAGCAACATTTTAATTCCAGAAGAATCGAAGGAGATGCAATCCCTGTGGAGAGGGAAACAGAAATAAGAGGGCTGTTGACAGATGATCTGAGTTGTTTCTTCTAATATACTGTGAAGATCACTAGCTCTTTTCATGAATGATAAATGGACTGTACACAGATCAATGGGTTCAGCAATAAACTGGAACCAGGCTCCATGTCTAAGGCAACGCAGGCCGAGAGGCCCAGAGATTTCCTCATTTCGATGATTTGGTGTGTGTTTTCTTAAAGGTTCCATGGGAGGAAATTGATCCAAGCAGTCGGTCATCCTTTTCTGGTGTCTGCTAATAAAAATGATTTTAGAAATGGATACTTTGGCCTTTCTATCACTGTGCAGGTGCACCAGGTGTCAATAGTAATGCAGGGTAAATGGTTCCCTACCACAAATCTAAAAATCCAAGATATGCTCATGACCATTCCCTCCATACCTGTCTCCCCACCTTGTCGTAATAGCCCCATGAGGCTCATATTGGGGGTGAGATTAGAGTGAAGGGTGGAGAGAGGAGAATCGAGTTGTGAACCTAATGGCCCACTCACACGGGCATAGCCGAACTTTCCAGCAGCCCTGACAATGCCCGCCTGTGTCTGAAAGCTGCACTTGGACAGGTAACCATATTCCCGAGGCGAGAAAATTTGCTTTCTGCTTCTCCTGTCTGCTTATCTCCAGCACCCTGCTTCTGTTAGCTCCTTATGTTTCTGAAGAGCATATTATATTGCTTATTATTTTGGTAACTAGTTGCAAAGATTATGCCTGCTAATGTTGTCTAATTGCATTTCTTTCTTCTGTTCACAGGCTGTTGAAAAGGCAAAACCTAAGAATAATCCCGTGAAGTAAGTTTTTTTTTATTAGTTGGAAATTTTAATTTGAACGGACTCCATGCATGTGAAAAAATAAGGTCATAAAAGAGACCTTGGAGTTTGACTTAATCTCTATTCATGACAATTTAAAAACAAAAACAAAACAAGCAAAAAAAAATATACCGCCAATAAGCAAGGACCAGCTTTTACTTTTTCCTGTGAAGTCCTGATGAAGTCCTGATGAGGAAGTGCCCCAAGTTGTGCCCAGTTTACATAAATTAATATGAGCCATCCACGAATAGCTGCCAAATACTATTACAATCATATTCAATGCATGGTACTTCAAGCCTTTGGGTTTTGCACATGCTAAAAAGATTACATTTTTAATTGCAATCCTTGGACCTATGACAGAGACGTAAATGGCTGAAAATGTGCCAAGTCATTTCCAGCCACGTGGGGAGTTTTGGCACCTTGGCATCAAGGCCTCGCTACTCTGTTAATGAAAAGCTCATAAAAATATATTTAACTAAAGGTTTTTCTAGCTAACAGAGAGCTATTTGCAAGGCATTTTATGGGATACTCTTAAATTATAAACAAGCCGCACAGCACTCTTTTAAATATAGTACATCTTAGACATCCTGTCTCTCTCAGAAGGGAGACTTTCAAATTAAGAATGATGTCTGTCTTGTCATGTGGGTTTGTGACATCTGATTGCAGTGTTGTGAGGCATTTCAGCCCCGCCAGCCATGTGGCCGAGGGAAGACCCGTTCTATGTGCTGGGTTATTGTCGGTCTGGTAATACCACATCTCTAGGAACTACGTGTTAATTTACGTCAGCTGACTTCCGTCATGGTGGGTACCAAATGCAGAAGTGGGGAGTGCATTGATTTTTAATAGTGTTTCTGGGAGAATGCATCAGTTAATACCAACGATGAGAAGGCTGCTTGTGTTTTGTAAAAGAATTAATTTTTCAAAGTCACCAGGGTAGTGGTTAGCACACCACTAAATCCAAGCTGTAATTCACTTTTCCAAAAGGTTTTGTGAACTTTGTTTTTAAATTTGATTTTTCTTAGGCCACAGAATATTCCTTATCGGCCTTCTGTAGCCTCTAGCAGGGCATCTGTAGTGTGGAGATGTAGTATGCTGTAGTTGTCCCATTGGAGTATGTGTAGTAGCTGAGTTTTGGTCTGGTTGTTTGGTTGGGGTTGAAATCTTCTCTGCAGCCTGATTTCTTTCCTGTCTATGCCCGGAAGGTTTCTCTACTGCAAGCCCGTGGCAGGCAAGCTCCGTGGATTAGAGGATGGTGCTAATGAGGCCAAGGCCAGGACTTCAGTCCCTGGGTGGGCCATTAGTGATCTTCATTCCCCTACTCTGACTGCACCCCTACCAGCAGTCCACCTGCATGTAGATGTGTGCCCCAGGTCATAAGGGATGGGGCAAGGGCTGGAGGGGAGTGTAAATCTAGGCCCTCAGTGGGACAAACATCTCCAAGTTCAAGCCCTCCCAATACAAAGTGAGTCCTAAGCTCCATCTGTCCGTGCACAAGATGGCCCATTGGCAGTGTGGGGTTGCATTAAATCGTACTCTAATGGCCTGGAGGTGGGACTAGTTTTCTCTCTGCTCCTTGTGAGGATTCAACCCTACACATGATTATATTTTTTTATGAGCTCTTGTTAATTTACAGTTAAGACTCTAATGTCTAGCACTTTAAGGAGTATCATAAAAAGAAAATAGGAAAACTAGAAGAGCCAAAGGATTAGTGCTAGAATATGGAGCTTTTTATTTTTAAATATATTTGAAAATCTGCTCAATAATAATCTTAAGTCACAGTCAACTGGTAGATGGTTAGAGTTGTCTTCTAATTAAATGAGATACTGTTCTCAGTGTGAGTTTGGGTGTCCTGTTGCATTTGGGCTCATGATATCTAACTCACTTACCCAGCCACAACCATCTAGGTACATTAAGAAGAGAGGCCTCGTCCAGACCTCAGCTCAGGGACAGAAATTCCAGGGCATGGTTCAATTACACTGCCTTACAGCAGAGCAGAAGTGGAGTTTTTGAAAGTTTTATGTATAGTGGTCATCTTTTGGTTTCTGATGTCTGCCAGAGAATTTCAGTTACACAGTGCACTGAGACCCCAGATAGAGTAAGGGTTCGATACATGTTTTCTGAATGAATGAACAAGTAAACAAATTGGACACATCCCAGAAAACAGTCCTTTCAGGAACCTGGCCTGGAGGCTTAATAAGACTGGTGGCTTTACTCTAGTAGAGGGTCAGATTGGAAGAGCCTTTGTATTGTAACTGACCAAGTCATTCAGTCTCTTATTCTTGACTCATGCCACATGTCAAATGCTCCCATGTTGCTCTGGTTTATTCCAACTGCTTTGCCTCCGACCAGTTACTAGTCTGATCTCGTATGCAAGAATTAACATTTGCTTGTTTGTTTGAGCGTACAATGGAAAGCATGCACAGTCTTGGTGGAAGAGTAGAGGTCTGGAGGCATCATTTACAACTGAAGTACGAACGCAGATTGGTGAAGATGATCATATGTGTGATTGGATGTCATCCTCTGGTGCAGAGTTGGGCAAATGGTTGGGGAAGAAATCAAAAGAAGAATATTTCATGGCATGTGAAAATTATATGAAATTTAAATTTGTGTCTATAACAAACTTTTCTTGGCACACAGCTACACTCGTCTGTTTCCGTACTGTCTGTGGCTGCTTCTGTGCTATAATGGCAGAGTTGAGTAGTTGCAAAAGAGACTATGCAAACCACAAAAACAAAAATATTTACTATCTGGCCCCTTAAAGAAAAACTTTGCTAACCCCTACTCTAGTTGGTCACGTAGAAAAAGGCACAAATGTAAGCGTTTCCACGACTGTGAAGGTTAAACTATCAACCCTTTCTGTTGTTATCCTTTAAAACACTGAGTAGGTATTTACCAAGCCCTTATTGTGTGTTCTGGACTTTCAGCAATTCTCATTCAGAGCAAAGAGACTACTCTTAATTCACTATCTTTGAAAATCATTATGGATATGAGATCCATTAACAGGGCAGTGATGCCTCACAAACCAGCAAACACGTAGCTGGAGTGTACTGCCAATCTTCCAAGTTGTGTGTAGATGGCTATATTGCAAAAGGCATATGCATTTTCTAAAATTCTGTAACTTCCCAAGATCTAACTAAGGCTAAGTAAACTTTCAATTAGAGTGATGGTAAATGATTCGCAGTATCCATGTAGTTTGTATATTTTCCTCTCTAAAGGTTCACCTCCCCCTCCCTATTTATCAACCACTTGTTCAATTTATTTTTAATACCTTCATGGTTATAAGCTTCTTTCATCACCATAGGGAGACTGTGGTACACATTAATTACACTCCATATAAAGGAGAAATTAAATATATGGTTAGTGAATGTAAGCACATAATCTACCTGGATACACTAATGACTTTACCTTGAAACATTAAATATTACCTCTGAGGGTAAGAATCAAAATTGAATGTTCTTAAGATCAGCGATCAGGACAAGAGATGCCGGTACATTTCTCAGTCTATTGGAACCATGCTGGTATCAAAGCTAGATTAGTATGTTCAAACTGTGGCTCTTTAATGTGTCAGAGAGACTTTCACTTGTATATTAATGTTCACGGCAATTATCTCCAAGCTTTCATTGTGACAACAAGGCCTGAGAGATGTACAGATTTCTTCTACCATATGTGACTTATCACATACATTTTTTTAAAAACACGTTTCTGTTATTAAGACATATGTGATAGTACACTTCTGCAAATGTGAATTGCTTTTGGCTAAAAGCCATGCACTAATAAGTTGAGTTGAATCTAACCGAGGTTGACATCTGTTACTAAAAGAGAGGGAGAAAGAGAGAGAGAGAGACAGAGAGAGAAGGAGGGAGAGAGAGAGAGGGAGGGGACAGCAAGCAGTTGTCAATCATAAAATTTTTCCTTGCTTTTTTACACTTTAACAACGTTAAACAATGTGGTTGTTGTCTTTCACAAATCAGGATCAGAATTCACTCTGCTTGGGAAATTACAGCTTTATTTAGGAACTGATTCATCTCATAGATATGGTGGTTTCATTGTTGAAAATGACAAATAGCCACAAAGATTTCCCTGCCTGTGATGTTTGTGCATTATTCATTTATTCCTCCAATGAATATATATTGAGGATCTACCGTGTTCCGGGAACTGTGATAGATGCCAAGGGAATTAAAAATAAATCTGACACAGGTCTTACCCTTGAGGAGTTTAGAGTCCAGCAGGAGAGATAAAATCGGTTTGTAAAGAACTAAATACAACATAGAGATATGTTTGTTAAGTGGGGGACAGATAAAGTACAAGGGAAGCTCTAAGGACAGAAAGTGCTTCTAGTTATCATTATTGGAGAAGGGGGGTGGAGGAAGGAGACATTTGCACCAGGACTTTAAAGACTGCTGGTTTGAAACACTGGGGGTGAGGTGGCAGGCAGTCTCAAAGGTTGGGTTTGAGGCTCAGAAGAAATGCTGGTTTGGGACCCTCGGGGCTTATCTAGATGAAAGAGATTAGCTTGGTGTAGAGTCAAATAGCATTGAAGAGCTCTAACTTGTTACAGTGAATCATCAATTAATCCCCTAATTATTAAACATAAACAAAGAATCCGTAGACCTGGGATCTAGTCCTGAATTTGACATCAGCTTGTGGTATGATACTGTACATGTTCTTTCCTTGCTACAAACGTCAGCTAGATTTATTTGTATGGTTCTTCCACCTCTTAAAAAAAGTCAAAGCTTGAAATCCTGATTTATAATTCTGCTTATTTTAGGAAAAATTTATGTTAATTTTGATGTAGATGCATACATGCACATACATTATCAACATTGGGTACATAATACATATGTGTTTATGCACACACACATGTGCACACACACACACAATGCCTTTTCCCGTCATTTCTGCCTTGTCTATTTGTGAAATGAGGGACAAGAAGCCACATCATTAGAGTTTTAAAGAGATATGTGAGACAGAAGAATAGTGTG